CCCGTGGTTCTGACGGTAATTCGGGAACCGGGAATTGATTACAGCTTACGAAAATACCCTTTGCCGACCTTCGCCATAGACTCCTCCCGCAGTTAATTGTATGGCATGGATATCGATATTTGCTGAGCTGGGGGAACTTTTGTTGCAGTTTTCGTAATTTTGTGTAATGTTGTATCCTTAGCTGATAGTATTTGTAACTGCGTCATACAAACTATTTTAACGGCGTTTCATAACGGTGGTTTTTTTTTTTTTTTACGTTAATATCATACTTTGATATTTTTAATCACTTGTATATTTATTGCTGTAAACCAATAGAACATTTGTAATTCTAATGATGCAATAAAGTTATTATTATTAGCAGAGTAATTGTACTTGATAATGCAAGTTTTTGGCATGATTATGTTATTTGCGACCAGCTGGACAGGCTTCCATCTAATTTTTTCTTCGAAACTAAATGAAATCAAACGACGGGGTCGAATTGGATAATTTGCCTAGTACGTTGTCTCAGCGTAATTTGACGTGGCTCACCATTTCAACATGGCACGTTTTGTCTGGGGCGACATGCCGCACGACTTCTGTTCGCTTCTTTCAGTTATTGCTAATATACGCTCTTTCTCAGCAGTGGCGCTGTTCTTCATATACACTCTCGTGTTTTGTTTTTCTCATGTTTTCCACTGCCAGTAGTGGTACTGTCCATAGTTCTCTTCAAAGTGTTTTATTCGTCTATATCACATCTTTCCTTGCTTCTCTAGCAGTTTTTTCGGATTCCAATGGACGAACTTGTTAGTACACAACTTTCAGAGGGTGGGCGACTTTCAAACTAGGGACACCTCAAACCACAAAATGTTATCAAATTTTGGATTTAAATTTATAAAAGATTTATCTCAAAAAAATTGATTTACACTTTCAGTAACCTATAGCCACTGTATAATCACATGTCGAGATTCCATCTTGACTCTTTACACAAGCAGTCCTGCTAGGGAAACATTGCTTCCTAACACCAGGGTCAGCCATCTTGGGTGGGGGAGAGACTCAAAACAAAAGCAGATAACCAGGCTAGATAATTGGCAACTTGCACATTTAACTTTACCTTTTCTTGTAAATTACCATAAACTTTGCTAGAAATGCATAAAAACTGCTCAAATTTCTTGCATTTATTCCTATAAATCTTGGGTATGTTACAATATTCTTGCACGATTTTGATATTGTTTGCCTTGGCAACGACAATTTCTGCAACCCTTGTGCCTGTGGCTGCCAAAACCAAGAGGCTCTTCCAAATACCTCAATGTTTTCAAGCTCTATCACCATGCAAAGATGCATTTGGAATAAGACGTTTACTTGGCTTTCACTCATAAAACTGGGGGAAGTTGCATGGTAATTGCACAACCAATAAAACATTCTTCGCATTGAAGAAATAGCAAATCATATACAGAATGAAATCAGTTTTGAAATGAGGAATAACCAACTAGACGGAGGCAGTGTGTGGGTTCAAAAACTAAGTCTTTCAATCAGTATTTTAAAAAATATCTTTATTCTCTCGTATCTAACTGATCAAGTCATCAGAATAAATTGTCAACAATCTAATCTCTTCAGCCATACCAATTACAAACCTGCAAATTGTTATGTACATTGTAAAACAAATAATCTTCACTCCCAATCCTAACCCCACTAATTTAAAGTTGCATTCCTATTGTTAACAGAAGACCTTTTTATCCATTTTGCAATAACCGTGAAAACAGTTGTCACAAATCCTGAAGTGTTTGTGCACTAAATGTTTTAGTCAAATCAAACGAGAGTTCCATTACTATAATCACTCAAGGATATTTGCATGCATTTTAGAGACTATCTTCTAAATTCAAGATTATGTTAACAAAATCCAAGCCACCCCCTCTCCCATTGCTTACAGGTTTTCAATAGATCATGCAACTAAACCATTGTAAAATCAGTTTTGATCAAGGCCTACGACATTTCAGTAAATTTAGACCTCTATTCAGATCAATAACATTTAACTTTCACATCAATTGAACTATGCACTAAATAAGCAAAATATGAAATGTAAGCAGAGTTGGTACTTCGAGAATTCAAACTTGTGAAGCCAAGAATCAGCCACATGACATTAGTTGACCAAATAAATTTAAAACTAAGAATGCATATTTAGAGAGTTCAATAAAACATTTATTGCAATTTCACTTTTACAGTGAAAGGCAGAAAGCTGTGACCTATCTTGTACACATTCAACTAACAAGCCATGCATAGGACAGTCCCTACTGGTTAACAAATATAGAATAGTTTGAGCATAAACATTGCCCGATACAGATCCAGAAGCTGATGCTAGATTATGACATCAGTCATCTTGTATCAGATAGTGTGTAAAATACTTTATTTTAGCTGGAATTAATTTTCGCTGAATAGACTTTTTGTATGGAATTTATTTTCACTGATTTTTGACCAGTTGAATGTAAAATATAGAGAAAAAGGTATATTCGCTGGATTTTATTTTCACTGAATCGTTCCTCCAGCAAAAATAGCAAAAATAAAGTATTCACACTAGTACTTGTCCATATTGAGAGATATTGCTTTGGAACTGCATTAAACAAAATGGCCACCTGTCGGCCATTTTAAATCAGATCATAAATCAATACATCTGTACATCTATGACACGATGTATAATGAATATATAAAATTTGAACATCAAAGCATGTCATAGATACAACTCTGGAACATATTTTGAATCAATCTAAAAAACGAAAAAATGACGTGCATGAGGGACCCACAATGTCTAATGCATGCATCGAGTTTGAACAAAATCCATCTGTAAACAGTTGAGAAATGCTAGATTTTGATTTTGTCATCACAAAAATGGCCACCATTCGGCAATCTTGAATCAGATCTTGAAACAAATTGATGTACACATGTATAATATGCATGGTGCATATATATAATATGCACGACGCATGTGTCAAGTTCGAATGTAATCAGACCAGGTATGTCCGAGTTTTCAGTTTACAAATATTTAACAGTTGGCTTGACAGCCTTTTAGGGTCCTCACTCAGGATGTGCATACAAGCTTTCAAGTGACACAGCAACTGCAATCAACCACTTATTCAAAATTAAAGGCTTGCCAATTGGATGAAGTTGAAGTAGTGATATACATGCCACCTTTTTTTTTTAATTTATAAAACATGTACAACATCTCCAGCTTTATGCCTTTCACTGCAAGTATACTTACCTTTGTTATTGTAAATTTGGTGAACTGAAACTTCACCCACCCCGAAAAAAAGGTAACAGTTTTAGATACTGAACGTTTCAAGTTGAATTAAAGTATCCACAAAACAAATCAACAGACAAATTGACCCACACATTCTATTTACAAATATATCTATAGGTAATTCCTATTTAAGAGATTTAAACTGAAATTGTACATTTAAAACGAACTCAAAACGATTCACTTATCAGCCCTAGTAGCATTACTCGAGTTACCTGAAGTAGAATTGACACAATTGCATAGTCAAAATTTCAGGAAGGAAAGAATTACAGATTTAGAATTTCAAACAAAGGAAATAAAATGTTTAATATATATATCATATATAATGGTTAAAACGATTGTTTACAGAAAGATAAGTTTTCATTCTGTCTGAACTATTCATTAGTGTGACAGTGTTCATTGTTCTCTGGCTTTTCATTTATAATGTACAATATTTGCTCTACCTGTAATGCATGTGTGGTTAGGTAAATGTTTCTATGGTCAATCTAAGTCATTTTAATGATCCAATATACTATAAATGCAATTTTTGGTTCATATGCATTTCTATTGGAGAAGCATTTCTGATAGAGAAAATACAGTAAATTAATTATGCTGTGGCATCCAAAACGACAATGGAGGTGGAGGTTGTTGAGGCTGTTGTTGTGGCGGCGGCTGCTGCTGATGTTGCTGTGGCGGCTGCTGCTGCTGTGGAGGGCCCTGAGGATGCACTTGATGTGGTGGTGGAGGTTGCTGTGATTGCAACAGCTGAAGCTGTGACATGGGTGCTTGATAATGGGGAGGTGCATTTGAGTGAGTGACACTCAATGACTGGTGATTGTACTGACTGAAATGCACGTGGGGCTGACTGTATACTGGACTGTTGTATTGGTGGCTTACTTGTGGCTGGGGTTGTGAGGAGAGTGGAGCTGTCTGAACACCGGAAACAGGTGGGGGACTGTACACTGAATTTGAATGTGGAGAGAACTGGCCATGTGGTGGTGGTGGCACATGTTGACCATTGCCATAAATTTGTGGTTTATTTTGGTAATGATGATGTTCATATTTTGCCGCAATTCGTTGAAGATGTCTTCCACTTGATAGTTCATCATCTTCGTCAGAGTCTCCTTCGTACGCCACTAATGAAGTCTTAGATCTTTTCTGTTGAGGTTCATCCGGTGACGGCGATCGTGTTCTACCTATATACAGAAACCATACGTACACACGCACACAAGGAGAAACAAACAAAACCCCCCAAAAAGTTTACAACAGGACCCAAATGAAGTAATTAAAAAAAAGTGGGGCCCCAAGAAACATTACAACCCATCAGGAGTGATTTGATTTGACATATTCCAGGTTGATAACATCAGGGAGACAGCATCAGCAGGCAGCACAGGAAACATTTGAAAGAGAACAGAAAAGAAAGAAAAAAAAACAATCAGAATTAGGTAGGGATAGATTCCCCAGTGTAAATACAATCAATGCAATGGTGTTTTGTATCTACCAACTGTCAGATTAGTGAAACCCTGTAGATAAGGATGGCAGATTTTGGTGTTTTTATTCTGTTAAAACAGCAGCAGCAAAAAAACCTGTTGAAATTTGGATTACAAACTAATTTCATGTTAATTATAGGACCCGAGAACAAGTGGTAAAATTTGGGAATTTCTTCTTTTTTTTTTGAGAACTTCATAATCTCCATACACATTAATGAGCATAAAACAAACTATGGAATACATTAACAATTAGGTCCCTTTTTTAAATTTGTAGAAATTCCAATCAAAATTTCTTTTAACATGTGATAGTTTCAAAGAAAATCAGTACCCAGTGAAACCCGTCCCAACTGCAATGTGTTATTTACAGCTTTCTGTAAATGGTAAATTTATAAGTGTATGGGGAACAGATGAACGTACGGATGGACGAACCGATGGATGGACAGAGACACTTACACTGTGTCACATGCTGCTACAATATTTGTTGTTGATTGAACATAATTACCTCTTACAATAGAAGTGTCATTTTATGAAATGCATGTACCAATGATTTTGACTCTGGGTGAGTAGTTTAACATCCGTTCGGCCATATGCCCGCAATCACAATCAAAATATAGTTTATATGAATATTGTTGGTAACTAACACTACTATTTGGTGAACAATGTCAGAAGAAAGTCAAATTCATCCGAAAAATAAAATCTACTAATAATGCAATGCAGAAGTTATAGTACTGAAACACAAGGAAACTTGTTCATTGTCATGATCTGGGGGAAAGGGGCAATTTATTTTTTCAAATCTGGCAAATCAAACTTACCTGCAGTATTGTCAAGAAACGAAAAATAGTTATTAATACAGAGAAAGAGGCCCCATTTGAAAATGGAATAACCCACCTGTAAGAAACAATTGGGATGTCCCAAAGTGAGGCAAACAAAAGCACCTAAACAAGGAGATGGAAGAAATCAGTTTTCTTTCACCATTGTACTATAAAGTTAAAGTATAGGGTCATTGTCAGTTAGGAGTTACTTACCACATGACCAAGTAAATTTCAAAATTCGATACAAATTTGACTAAACTGTGTCAAGATTTATCATTCTTGGTCAGATGGGAGGTAACCCCAAGACGCAAAAAATCTAGCGTACGCTAACACACAGAATTAAACTCATACAAACCTACGGTAACAGGCATACGTGGTGGGGGCATTAACTGCTTGTCTTTGTCCCCATTAAGGGGCATGCTCACTGGCAATGATGCAGGCGGCGGCATCAACTTGCTGCAAATGAAACAAAATATGCGAAATTGCAGGGCAAAAATAACAGGGAAATTGTTTATGGCCTCACTCCTGATATAAAAATCTGATGATAGTTATTGAATAAATCCTCTACAATGTTTTTTTTTTTGTGTGTGTGTGGTTGTGTGTGCACCACTGCGATATTATTACAAACATCTTGTGTTCTAGAGGAAAGTTATTGTTGAAGTTCACATGGAAATGTAGAGGTCAGGTGAATTAAAAACAAAAGCACAATCAAGACTGCTCTAAGATCTGAAGAAATCAAACGATGCATTAATAAGTTGTTGTTTTTTTTCAAATGGGCAAACATGATAAGTTTAGCTTTTAAAAATTTAAAAATTAGTTGAAGAATAGCTAAGCAGAAAACCTATAATGATAAAAAGCAAGCAAAACAAATGAAGACAACTAAGATATGCACAATTACGATAAGTGTATTGTGGAAATCTAGTCTTAAAGAGTCTAGACAGTTGCAAAGTATCAAAATAACTAGTTGAAAATACAGGAAGAGGGAGAGAAAATTCTGCAATCAAAAAAATGAATATTTATTGAAACAAAATTAAGAAAGAAAATTCACTACAGGTGATGTTCACTGAATGGTGATGTTATTTTAGAAATAGCATATGCATGTCATAGCAGCAAAAATTTTAACCCATTAATCTCCATTATTGTCTTACAACATTTGGCAATTTTTATGTATTTTTCAAGAATTTTTGTTGTTTTGTAAACCAAATGGACATTTTTTGATTACCTACAGCTACGGATCAAAATTGAAGAAAAAATATAGAAAAAGTCTCATTATGTTCACATTATAGTGCGAAAATTGATTTAGGTGTTTGGAGAGTTAACGGGCAAGCATGCATACATGTAGTTAACATGGGGAAAAAGCAAAGTGCGATTGACATTTGTAAGTGGCTAGGAGGAAACATTGAGGAAATAAACACAGATAGTTATTTTAAAATTGAGTAAAAAGGGCAGAAAGCTTGAAACCTTCAAATCCAGGAGAAGAAAATATATTTATTTACAATCCAATTCAATCGTATCCTTGCCTCATTATTAAAATAAATAGACCTTATCGAGTACTAGTATTATGCGGCAAATCAATACAACAGAAATTCACCAGTATCCAAGCAACTGGTTACGAGTGTTATACGTTACTAATTAGATTTGTGGATTAAAATATTTCAAAACATTCCAACTGGATATGTTTTTTACCAAGCTATGTCAACTGTATCCTTACCTATCATCTGTATTTACGGAGGGGCTACCTGGTAGTAGCTGCATTGGCGGCTGTCCAGGCATTCTGAAGTGTGGCGGAACCTGACCCATGGGGCCGGACGAAGGTTGAGCACCTAGATTAGTCAAGTGAGGAGGTCCATGCTATACAGATTGGAAAGAAAGTGACATTAGCACAAAAAATCTTGTCAATACAATATACTATGTCGTGCAAGGGGAAAAAAAACCTGTAGGAATAGCTGATTGTTAGTTTGGGTATCTTCGTGGTATGAGCTACAACAAAAAAAGTTAGAGTTAAGGGCATCTTCAATCTGCAAGATTCAGGAAAAAATGTAATGAAGTTAGACATCTGATTAGGGTTCTGAAACTAGAACTGAAGCAAGATGTTGTCAAAAGCCGAACTCAAAAGGGAAACATTCAGAGATGAAGGTCTTGAGTGTTTCTTGGTGCACACACACACACTTCTTCTATATTCACATTTGAATTTAAACGTCATCAGTTAATCAAGGTGCTGCATTATATAGAACAACCCAGCCATAAATATCATGAAAACATAGTGCATGAAGTTCCATTGATTATAGGGTCAAACATCTAGCCGTTCAATATGTGAAGAGACACAATCAGATTCCAGTGAGTTACACAGTATCTGAGAATCGTAGCTTTCACGATAGTGTCCAAAATATATTGTTTATAATCCAGGAAAAGAAGACAAATTCGCAAGCCATGCCATACAACCTGGTATCCAAGTAATCCTTCCTCGTGTTTATCATCAGCTGTTGGATCTTCTGTGAATCTTCTTTTCGGCTGAGGCTGAGGTGGTGGTGCTAGGGCTTCTTTCGGTGGTGGAAGTGAAATGGGTGGTGGCACAGGCAGCTGCTGCTGCTGCTGCTGCTGCTGCAACTGATGCTGTATAATATTGATTCTTGCCGGGGTCTGAATAGGTCGCGGTTGAACTCCTGGCTGTATTATATTATTTGGGATCGAAGCCTGAAAATAAAATAGCAGCAACCGACTTTACACATGATGAACATGGTCGCCACATAAATGATAAGCTAGTAGATTATATGAGAGCTATAGCCCCTCCTCCTAACCCTACCACCAAAAAAAAAACAGTTGAACTCTGGTGAATTTGCCCTTTGTTATATAATATTATTCCCTTTATCATAGTTTGTTTCAATATGAATATGCATTGTCATAATTAATTTTGGTACAAACAAGTTTTGGGGTTGAAACAACAGTTGGGAAGCAGTCTACCATATCAGGCTTTAATCTTTTAGTAAATTATTACTATCGATACAAACAATAAAAAGACATGCATATAATATGATACAACCGCTGTACTGCAATATTCTCATGATAATATTTTGCCCTAACCACACTGGTTTAAATGTATTTAATGTAGCATATATGAAGTTTAGCATCCCTGTTCTGGACAGAGCTGCATAAACCCTTTGAGGGCATCAGTTTAGCTTAACTGCAATTCTATGGGAGAAGCACATACTCTTAACAGACAGCTGCATTCATGAGCATTTTTGCACTGATGATGGAAGTACATAGAGCACACATAAGAGTCAAAACACTGGTAATTCTTTACATACCAGTCAACGCTGGAAATGAAGTATAATACAAGTAGGTACCTCCAGTAACAAAGCACTTCAGAGACAGAAAGTTAAAGCAATTTTATTCACAACTGTGTAGAGATTTACTAATCAGAACATAGCAAGTCTCTCATAAACATGTAATTGGACAATCAAAATAATAGCAATACATTTTTTCTGTCTCTTATTTGTGTTTTGTCAGTGGATGGCACAACTATAACTTATGTGTAGAATACATGCCTGCCACAACTCGGGCTTAAACCAGAACAACTTTTGTCAATATATATATAATTCTGTTTTTTCTGGTGCCAAGCAATTCATTAGTACAGATGGGCATTCAAAAAACTGAAAATTCAAAGAAAGCTTAGAAAGAACTCCTGTGTGCTTGAAGGTATTGGAGTCAAGAAGTACAAATAAGGAACACTGTAATCGGCTTATTAATATGCAAATTAGATAATTAATATGCACATACTTCAACTAAAAAAATAATCAGCTTTGAGCATTATCAAAGAGCATATACCACGTTTTATTAAAATCTGATAATTGGTTCTTGAGATATTAGATGAATGAACATACACACACACAGACGCCCTAACCGCAAAGACTTCGCACATTCAGTGACTACAACTTACCTGCACAGTCAATATTTGCTGAGCAGCTTGTAACTGAGCATGCTGTAATTGCTGATGCTGCTGCTGCTGCTGTTGCTGTAATTGCTGCTGTTGTAATTGCTGTTGTAGTAATTGTTGCTGCTGCTGCTGCTGTTGTTGCTGCTGCTGTTGTTGTTGCTGCTGTTGCTGTTGTTGCTGCTGTAGCTGGAGTTGTTGAATAGCAGCAGCCTGTAAAAGTGCCGGTGCATGGTGCTGCAGTGTTGGCATAACTGCAGTTGTTGCTGACCCAATTTGTTGAAATCCTTCAAGACAAAACACACATAAAGCAGTTTTAAGTACCTTAAAAACTATTAATTCATGGTCTATTATCACCCAGTTCATTTAAAAAAAATAAAAGTATATACATCTTTAACTATTGATAATCCCAGAAAGATGCAAAATTTTATCTTTTCATTTACTCTTTTCATGCCTAACATGTGGCATGAAAAATAATGCTTTAAAACGATGCATATAGTGGTTGCATATCATCAGTCAATGCAGATAAAAAGCATCATCAGCCTGAATAAATTCAGTGAACACAAGGTGCCATCCTGTTGTACGTGGGCCGCCGGAGTAGGATTTAATGTTATTGGTCGGTCAATGTTTCCATAGTAACAAGTTGGAGAATCTGCACTTTTTATAGGCTATTGTCTGTTTTACATCACAAAATACAACAAATTTGTAGTGTTTTAAAATTTTATGCATTTTTATGAGTTAGTCACAAGTATGCACTTACCGTGAGGTGTTGTGAGGATTGAGGACGAGGTGAGAGGAACAGCAACAGTAACTTGTGTCAGAAGAGTTTGTTGTTGGCGTATACCACCTGGTTGAGCTGGTGGAGCATGGGACATGGTTGGTCTAGCCATGACCATCTGGGTAGTCATGCCTGGTGGAGGTATGATAGCCATTATACCTGCATTAACAGCACCAACTGTGGCAACATTTGGTACTCCTGTAAGTAGTGAAGAAAGTACAATGTTGATGATATAGGAGGGGTACTCTCTAAAAGCATTAATTATTCATTGTGTTGTATTTAGGATTAGTTGATGGCATTTCCACCTACCTAGGCTGAGGAGAGTGCATTTTCAATCAACCAATCAAATTTACAGGCAAATATAGCTGGCCATAAGATGGTATTCCTAGCATCATACCTCGGCATATTTGAAGGCATGTTTATTTAACCAATCAAATTTACAGCCAATAGCTGACCACAAGATATTCCTAGCGTCATAGCTAGGCCGAGATGATGGCATTTTCAATGAATCAAATTATTCACATCAGTTTACAGTAAAATTTCAACTGAATTACAAACAAGCAGCCTGTCGGCTGAGATAGCTCCGCTGTTAGCAATGCACGTTTCAATTAAAGAACGGAAGATATCATTAGAAAATGAACAATTTGTATAGAAACAAAGCAACAGGACTGTTTTCAACAAGAATTCAAAAATATCACTTTTCACCAAAAATAATCAAAATTAGATAATTGAAGATATCACCACGAAATTAACAGATCTGAAAGAGGTCCACATGTAGTACCTATATATGTAATATCAAAGCAATTGCACTTGCGGTTTTTAACAAGAAGTCGAAAATATCACTTTTTACTAAAAATGACAAAAACATTCACCAAAATTAGAGAATTAAAGATATCATTACAAAATGAACAAATCTGAGAGAGGTCCACATGTAGTACCTATATATGTAATATCAAAGCAATTGGACTTGCGGTTTTTAACAAGAAGTCGAAAATATCACTTTTTACCAAAAATGACAAAGATATTCACCAAAATTAGAGAATTGAAGATATCATCATGAAATGAACAAATCTGAGAGAGGTCTACCCAAGGTACATATACACCAAGTATCAAAGCATTCAGGCTTGTAGTTTTCAAGAAGAAGTCGAAAAAGTAAAACATTGACATTGACGACGACTGACAATCATTCATTTGATAAGCTCCGCTCGACAAAGTAGACAGCGGAGCTAAAAATTAGAAATATGTAGGCAAATGCAATAACTTGTAAAGAGACTTCATTTCACAAGATGTTCCATTGCCATTGATGTAGAAGGGTTGTATCGGTAAAAGCACATGGTCTTGAGTAACATCTACCTTCTTAACCCTTCAAGGTTTTGCGTAGTACTATAGTGCAAATTTGTTTGACGAGACGACAAAGCTTTGTGGCAAACATGAAGCAACTTTAGTTAACAATCCTAAGTTAAACATCCTAGCTGTAATGTCATCTTTACACCACAAATTTCCATTAGTGCTTTGAAACTTTTTTTTCAAAAAATAATTAAGAACCAAGCCTACATGTACAGATGTGAAACTTGTATGTATAAAGAAAATATTAGTTACCTTGAGGTGATGGGAGAAGACCGCCCGACGGAGCAGCTGCTGCAACGATTTGACTCTGGAACTTTGCATATTCACCATGAATCTACAGATATCAATATTAAGTATTTTTAAAATTTACTTACATTGCAGCTACTTATATTATCAAGAAATTTTTATTTTCACCATGTGACATAAATAGATGCATTTCAATTAGTCTTGGTACCTAAACTTCTGCCAAATTAGTATCATTTTTCATAATTATCTTAAAACATGTTAATTACTTTGAAATCCTTTTCATGAAATCCCAAAATTCTATTTAAAACCCTTAATAATTTTGGTGAATCATTTTACACATATTTCAATTTTTTTTAATTCAGTGTCAAAACCGAAAGATGACAATAGTTGAATTAGGTGTTAAAAAGATTGAGAATCAATTTGATGTGTCAGAAAATCAGAAACCACTTACTGTCTGAACAAGATTATCACAAAGCTTCTTGGCAGCTGCTATACCATCAAGCTTTGGGTGTGTTATGTATATATACATAGGTTCAAAAGCTTCTCTACCAGATAATGGTTCCAAGTACCCAGAACCCTTTCCTCGTAATATCACGGTCGCTCCAGTTTCCATTCTAATATGTTGAATAAAAGACCCCTGACAAAAGAATTACATCAACACAAATATTATAAACCCATTAGAAAATTCAAAACACATAATTAGATAATTCATTCTAATACCTTATTCAACTACCTAAAACAAATTTACTGAGTTTTTTCTCTAAAACCATTCTTTTCCTAAAAACAGAATTACAATGAGGAGCACAAAATTTTCTTTTGGCTCATCTCTGATAAGTTGCATGAAAAATATATACAGATACAATTCATAAAATCCAATGAAATTTAATGTAAGTTTCAGTTCTATGCAGCACATGTATCAGAATAATTTCTGAATTATTTATCTTCAAAGCATTGTAATTGAAACATGCAATATTTGTTAATTGCTTATTCATTTAGTTTTATACAAGTTCAATAATTTTCTTGTACATTGTTTCAAAATAAGGATTCTGAAGTGAGATGACAACATAGTGCAAACGTGGTAGATACCACCGCAGTGTGTTTTTTGTTTCAATTTTTATATTCATCCAATTGGAGGCTTTCCCACTAATTTTCTTACAATTCATGTTATATCGTGTAATATTGTGTTGTAAGTCTCTGGATTGCCAGCAGGCCTTATATTAAGTTTATATTAAGTGTTTCTACTGCGGTGATTGGTGCTGCTTGTGTAACAGATAATTTGCATACTAATTTTTCGTTAGTTTCCATAATCGAAACATGATATAATCTGGGTTTCTATGTGAATGCAAAGCAATCCAGTGTTGTTGACACACTGGGGGCCATATGAATTTCACTTCTCAAGTCATTGGTTGCCAACGTGCAACAATCTCGAAATGATCAGAGGCAGACTTTGCCAAAAGTGTACAGATGTTGCATTGAGTTGAGCCTAAACAATGATCTGTTCCATGATAGGTCAACACAAGTGAATTTTGTAAGAGTTATAAGTTTACTCACCCCTGGACCACTTAGTTTATCACGCACATTAAATGATGGATGGGCATGTTCCAGTCCAACAAAAACTTTTTCTTGAATAAAATGATGCTGAAAATGCAAAAAATATTGAGGTACCAATAAATCAGAACAAATTCAAATTTTGCACGACTGAGAATGTATGCATTGATTTAAGGGGGAGACCTTCCCTTTTACTATAATGGTGAAAGACTAAATTCAATTTTTTTGAAATATTAGAATTCATATACAGTGTATACCGTTTTTTTTATCCTGTGTAACATTGCAAAACATTGTGATGTGAAGCAATAATTTCACTATAAAAACCATTGCAAAAATGCTAATTTTAGATTTTTTTTTTTTATAAACAAGGTGATAAATTGTACTTAAAGCAAGGGAGTCATCACCTGCACATGCGTCAGATGGCCATAGCATGTCATTGTTTAATAACAAGCGTCTAACTATGAACCTTTGTGTTGTTTTTAGCACTAGTTATCGTCGCTTGGGACTCGTCGCGTGTGCAGGTGACGACCCTCTCGCTTTAATTTTCCCCATTGATCCTAGGATCTATGATTTTTACTAGTAGACGACTAGTTACATGCAAAACATAGAAGTGTATTTTCACACCATTGGCACATATGCTGATTCAGTACTGTACTACAACAGTTTTTTTTAAAAAAAAGTAAAATACTTACTCCTGTCACAGTAGAAGGAGGTTGAGATGGCAGTGACATAAGTGGAGGAGGTAGCAATGACGGTCTCGGTACAGTATTAATCGACGTCATGCCAACAAGACTACCTTTCTGACCCTTGGGCTTCATACTACCAGATATGATTTCTTTTATTCTTCCTACTGCAGCTGTACAAGATAGAAGGAAGCATGTAAATTGACTGAAGCAAGAACACAAACATTTTCAGGAAGGAAGCCACAGTAACTTGCCTCAAATATTGTTATATAACCAACAAGGAAAATAGGCTTTCAAATTTCACGTTTTCATGCGACTTGTGATATTTGTATTGAAATATAAAAGGGAAATAGCTAGGAGCTTCACACTTTGCACACAAGTTTCCTTTGTGACCCACATGACCTTGTTTTCTTAATACAGAGTTGCATTTGAAGGTGCAAATTCAAGTTGTATATATATATGCAAGGCCTGAACTGTGGCTTTGATGATACAAATATTGAAGATATCTAGCACAAGATGGCTATTTTGAGTGCTGTCTAGTTTTATATTCACATTTATACACAGGGGCGGTACAATGCAGTTATATATTGCTGTCATTGCTAAGACTGTCCTAAAACGTACTAAATAACAATAAATGATATCACTTACCGTCAACACTATCTTGTGTAGGGCCCTGAACACACAGATACAGAGGCCGTTCCCTGTTAAAAAATATAATATCACTTAATATCTCAAAGTCTTCTGGATTATTCACAACTCATTGTATGGTGTATTCTGAGCATGAATAGTTATCTAGCATACATGCATGTTGAAAGAAATAATCTTTATTTTCTGAAATCGAGAAAACTCGTTCATCAAACACTGTAACCAAGTTAGTTATATGCATTGCTTAGACTGCTATTCATTTAAATAAAACAAATGAAATAGACAGTCTGCCCTACAAGAGCACATAAGACTGAAAAATCTTACCCCATATTGTTTTTTGCTCTATCTTCATATGACATGTATCTGCCCCTGGTAGAAATTGCTGCACCACTGTTTTTGCTTATCTAAAAAATAAATGACAGTTTAGAAAGCATGAATGAAAATACTTGATATGATTACATTCATGTAGCCTAAGTAAATAAAGCAATTAGGATTACACTTTTATGCAGTCTGTATCCTTTTATAACAAAGGCAGATTTTCCAAATTTCAGGTTTAAAAATTTAAACTTGAAGACCAAATAAGCAAGCAAACTTTGATGATCCACTATAGTTGTGTGACTTCACCTTTTCATAACCAGACTTTCTTGACAAAATTTTCTGAACTTTTTTCTTATATTCTCAAATATTTATGGAAATGAATTTTAATTTTGGAGCTAACAGACAAAATTTTTAGTTTTTATTTAGAAAAATTGGCTATTTTTGTCCCAATCTTCTGTGACTATTTTGTGAATTTGTGTTAAAAAGAGGGAGCTGGTGGTGAAAAGCGTAAAATGTGCAGCCTACCCAAATTATACGACTTTTAGAATACTCTCACATAGCACCAGTGGCCGCACATCACAATAGAGCACACACCAGGCAACCAAATGCAAAACTTTGATTTCCATACTTTTACATAAAACTCAACATTCACACACTTTTGAATAGTTCTACTCACCTCGTCTTGGGTAGCTCCCCTGGTTAATAAATTCCTACAGCTAAGAGGAACGTCATTGATTTCAATTTCAGCGATGATCGGCTCTTCTTTCTTTTGATTTGATTGAGGTGTTGGCGGAGGAGCCTGCAAGAAAAATAATCCGATGTAAAGTCAGTGTTATCTGCTTAGAGTAGTGGCCAATTTCATTAACAATAGAACAAATTTATGTTTATGTACTGTATGCTCTTCAGAGAACAACTATCAATTACGAGATGGGTAGAATAACCACAGTAAAGAGATCCCGCAGAAAAAAATGTTAAAGCGAGAGGGTGTCACCTGCGCACACGCAGGAATTGAGTCCCAAGCAATGATAACACACGCTAAGGATGCAAAGGCTCATGGGTAGATGCTTATTTGTAAATAATGACATGCTCTGGCCACCTGACGCACGAGTAGGCGACAACCCCCAGCATTAATGTGTGCCATAAAATCATAACCTTGGTATAGCATTAAATATCGCAGTGCTATGTATATCTTATGGATATTGCTGATTATAAATCTTAGTTTTCCCATATAATATTGAGCTATTCATACTGAAAAAAATTTGCAATAGACATATACATGACCCCCCCACCCCCACCCCACTAACAGGTCATACATCCTGGCACTTTTAGAGGGTAAAAATTTACCATCAATAACAATTACAACCCCCAATAGGTTTTTTATTAATGAAGACAGTTAAACATATCAATAATTGAATAATTAGAGTAATATTGTTTAAAGGGATCATACATTTGGCCTAACACATCACCATGCTGAAAGTCTCCATTGGTTAGTAAAAACAGTCACTTTCCTAGTAGTTTATAAATAAATAAACGCTGCTCGGACTGATAAATATGATATATAGAAGATAATATTTGGTAATCATAGTCCAAAATAACTATTAAAAATAGCTAGACGTTTCGAGCAATGGCTCTTTATCGATAGCATAGAACATCGATAGCATAATGACTTTATCAATAGCATAACACTTTCTCTATG